TGGGAGGAGGAGGAGGAGGAGGAGGAGGAGAAAGCCCCACCGTGCGGGCAGAGCCGCGGACAGGCTGTTCCTGCCCATGTCACAGAGCAGAGGACGTGGCCCTGGTGGGCGAGACCAGGGGCAGCGCAGCCTCCCTGAGCTGCCAGGGAATTGGGAGTCAGGATCGGGGACACACCGCAGCACAGCCTGCACCCCGTTTCGGTCCCTCCCGCCTCCCCCCACACCTGCCTCTGACATACACACCCTCCCGAAGCCTCAGTTCCCCCGGGCATCTCCCCCCCCAAAGTCGCTTTGCGGTCATACCGCCGCCTGCCCCCCCCTCGCCCCAGCACCTCCTGCCACAGCCTCCGCCGGTAACAGCCCCCTTACCGGCCCAAGTGCCCCGGCTACAGTTCCCTACCCTAGTCACCATCCCCCAAACCCATAGACCCCCATCCCGGTCATGATCTTCCCAGCTCAGAGGCCCCCATCTCGATCACGGTCCCCCCTCGCTCATAGTCCCCCATTCCGTTGACGGCCTCCCCCATACTACCCGATCACGGCCCCTCCTCGTCGCGCCTCCCCCAGCTCCCGCTCGCCCCTGCGGTCTGGGCCCCCGGTCACCAACGGCCCCCCCCCGAACCTTCTGGAAATGGGGGATGGCAGCGGAGATGAGGCGCACAAACCCCCTCGCACGCCGCACGGGCGGCCCGTCCCCGCCGAAGCCCGGTCGTGCCCCGCGCCCCCCGGCCCTGCCCGCCGCGGCCCCGCTGGACCCACCAGCGCCCCCTCCGCCGCTGCTGCCGCGGCCCCGACTGTGCGCGGCTCCTCCGCTCCTTCCGGGTACCGCTGGGGACACGCCCCACGCGCCCGCCTCCCGCGCGCTGATTGGTGTTCTGGGCGGGGCAGGGCGAGGGGCGGGGCGAGCCGCGGGGCCGTGCGGCCAATGGCCGGTGAATCACAGGAATTTGACCCCGCCTACGACCCGCCCCCTCCACGTGCGGGAGTGTGATGACAGCGGGGAAGGGGCGGACCCAGGGGAGGCGGCTTCTCATTTGCCGGCGGCCGCTGTTGGGGCGGGGCCTGGCACAGCGCGGGGCGGGACTACGGCCCCCTGACCCTGTGGGCTGAGGCGAGACCCCCGGTCCGCGGCGGGGCTGGAACACGGCCCCATGGGCACGGCATGTTCCACCCACGGGCACGGCATGTCCCACCCACGGCCACGGTATGTCCCACCCACGGGCACGGCCCCACGGGCACGGCATGTCCCACCCACGGGCACGGCCCTACGAGAACAGTGTGTCCCACCCCACGGGCACGGCATGGCCCCACGGGCACGGTATGTCCCACCCCACGGGCAGCCGTCTCATCCCTAGCGCGTCCCACCCCCTCTAGGTGCCCCCGACTCCACGGCGTATTCCACTCCCCGCACACACACACGGGCACAGCGTATCCCAACCATACAGTCACCCTTTGCCCAGCCCCACGCTACCCCAGAAACAGCCCTCCCTAGCCCCATGGGTATGGCCTCCCCGAGGTGAGACCCCTGCAGTGTCCTTTGCCTCATGTTCTGAGGGGTCACCCTGCTGTTCCCCACTCCCCAGGTGCTGCTGGTGCCCCTCAGGCCGGGTCTGCCATCCACCCACAGATGCCGGCCTGTGCCAGAGCCCACCATGGGTGCTGGACCCGAGGGACAGCTGCTCCCCGGGATATGGCTGCTCAGAGATACTGAAACACACAGCAGCCGTGGGGCACCTGGGCGCGGCCACCCGCCTGTGGGGATGCTGGCAGGACCCAGTGCCCTGAGGGGAAGCAGCCCACAGCTCACCAGCCTGACCACGGGCCATTCAGGTCAGGGAAGAGATGCTTTGACTTCACCAGTTTTGGATGAAGCTCGGTAAAGATCAGTCCCCCAATCGACTCACCTCGCTTCTCAGCTGCAGCTGCAACACCACTCTAAAAATAATGGGGACCAGTATCGTCAAATGATAAATATAACCAAGATCTTGTCTTCTGACTGTGTTTGCACGCAGTGAGCTGGATGTGAACCTGCAGCACACTGGCTGCCTAGTCCCAACGCTCCCCTTGCCTTGCTGCTGATCCTGGGGCATTATTTTCGGATGTGCTGTCATGGATAAAGCTGTGCTGGTGCTGTCTTGGAATAGCCGTGAGCAGGACAGACGGTCCTGTGACAGCTGCGCCCTGCATGTGCCTCTCTGCAGGGAGAAATGGCAGCTCAGTGTCCTATGGACAGCTTTGTGGCCGTGGAGAAGCTGCCAGCACAGGACCTCATCTCCTCCTGGGGCCTCAGAAAAATCAGAAATCTAGGGGATTTCTAGCTAAATAACCCCTGGCTGTCCCAGATTCAGCTTGTGGGTCACTAAAGGGTATTTAAAGTATGGAACATTTTAATTTCTGAGTGTAATGACAGGACCATGCAATCCTCCAGTGTTCCTGGTGACTTAGGAGCCACTGTCTCAAACTTCATGTGTGCAGGTGCTGGTTTCAGGAAGAGCCCAGGAAGCTCAGTTCCCCCACATATCTGCTTGTCCTTCACAGTGCAGGTTTCCTACAGAATTCCAGGGCAAAATTTAGTTTTTCTGCGTTTTGACCCTGCATGTCATCTCTGCTGACCTGGCAAGAATCTCTGGAGTCCAACCAGGAAGACAGCAGAAGCCATGGAAATCAGGGATGGGCTGAAAAAGTCTCAGTCCCCATCACACAGCTGCTTCCACAGGCTGTGTTTTCCAGTGTGAACTGGCTGAAATGAGTTCACAGTTAAAAAATAGTTAATGAACCTTTATTGGCCTGAGCAGGAACTCAACTGGAACAACTTCAGTTGAAGCTGAACCCACTGTGGAGCTGAATCAAAAAAAATTTGCTGGTTCAGCTCCTTGGCTGGGGGGAAATATGGTCTCCTTTGTCCCTGACAAGAATAATACATTTCTGTTTATTGTGTGGGCAGTGAAGGATTAATAATATCCCAACTTATTTACCTCCTGCTTTTGAGTGCTGAGGGTTTGTGAGCGATGTCCCTGCTGAGCACACTGTCCCTTAGCAACCTCCCCTGATTTTTGAAACATGTTCTCACTCCAGAAGCAGGATTAAGGAGGACATAAAAGTCCTTTTTAGCAGTCTGGTGGGGTGAGGCTGCTCCTATTGCGCTTCCCATGGGACAGAACCTCAACCATAGCCATTTGATGGGCACAGTAATACAAACCGTGGTGGTTCAGAGAGCATCTGGAAAAACTTCCAGAGGCTTGGGAGGGTTGGGAATAGGGCAGACTGACTGCACAAGCTGTATTACTTCTTTGCAGAGGGCAGCCCACCCTCGCCAGGAGTAGGTTTCATCTATTCCTTACACAGCCTGGGGGCTTGAAAAAGGCTTTACAAGGGTTGGGGAAGGCAAACGAGGGGTTTAAGCACATTAGGCACGGCTCTGCACCACAGCTGGCCACTTTCCAGAGACTCACCAGCTGGGAGGGAGGGCTGGGAGAAGGGTGTTTCCCCAGGAGGATGAGGTGTCCCAAGCCGCACATGGTGGAATGACGTCCTTCCGTCTTGAGCCTTTCTGCCTGCAGGGCTTCCCTTTGAAGGGTGCCCTGGTGAGGTGACTGAGTGGTGGTGAGTTCATCCCTGGGTTAGCTCCCTCCTGGAGCTGCCAGCTCTGTCCCAACCTGCCGGCAGCAGGCTGGGGCTGTTCAGCCTGTTTGCCAGGCTGGCTGCTCCCACCGGAAAGGCTGTCAGGTGCCAAGCGCCAGGATGCTGAGGAGCTGACACAAGCAAGGCTCCTGCCCCAGTTTAAATTTAATTTAGTGGTTTTCATCATGGAAGAGTGACATCCCCATGCACACACTCGTTTTGTTGGTGTGGGCAGGTTTTGCAATCACAAAAGCACCTTTGAGAAGTACATGGATCATCTCCCAGAGCTGGTGGGGCAGGATGTGCCTCCATAGGGGATTCATCACCTGTATGCTCCCCGTGCCAGCAGGCTGTGCCATGCTGTGCATGCTTGATCCAAGTCCATAGGTAGGTAAAGCAATAAAGGACCCATGTGCGGAAGTGAGCCTGGAAAGATCTGGAGTCCCGCCAGGGAGAGATTGTAGTGAATTTTAAAAGGACCTTGGAAGAAGCTGGTGGAAATTAGCTGTTATGTTGCCTGGGGGCCCCTGGCAAGTGGTGCCATGTTGGGTGGGGTGTGGAGCAGTGGCGGAGCTGGACTAGGCATCATGTGGTGACTCAGCCGTATCCTAGCTGGCAGAGGAGCTGAAGGAAGCCCAAGGGGCAGGTGTATTAGAGGAGCACTGGGAGTCACTTCCATTCCTAATGGTGCGTTGCCACAAAACAGCTTGGGTTTTTGTACCTCCACAGCCCCAGTCCTAGGCGTGCAGCACAGACTGTATCTCCTGCAGCGCTGCCTCTAGGGCTTTTCATGTTACTTGTTCTTGTGTTTTTCAAAACCAGAGGAGCCAAAAGCCAAAGCTTGTCCCTCTTTCCCTGAGACTGTCACAAGGAGAGGATGTACTGTAGTGCCCTGTGAAGCCAGGGAATGTTCCTGGAGGAGTGTGAACCAGTGCTGCAGGACCTTTCCCTTGCCGGAACCTGTTCCCATGATGTGCTTGGTTTACCTGTTTGACCAAAACGGCTGTAAAACTGGAGATAGAAATCAAACTTGGAGAGTTTCCTGCTGGAGGAGCCCTACACCTCTTGGGGGTAGGGGTGGCATTTTCTTTTGGCACCGTGGGAATCTGTTCTGGTACAGCTCCAAGCACGGCTTGGGATCACAACAGAGCTGAAGTCACTGTAGTAAGCTGACTGAGTCCCAGTGCCCACCAAAGCCTCATCCCAAACTGTGTGTGTCTGGTGGCACTCAGAGTCCTAACAGGAAAGGGAGAATGGTGGATCTGATATCACTTTAACCAGCACTGGGTGGTAGGGTCAGGCAGGGCTGCTCTTTGCCTCCTGTATCCACACCACACTCATAGTTCCTCTCCCATCAGCTGTCTCCCAGCAGCTTTGTAGAGGAGGGCAGAATTGTGACCCCCAAGGGACCATGATGGGCCTTAGGGACCAAGGAACAAAGGCTCGATGAGCTGGAGCCCGATGCAGGTCATTAACCCAGTGCTATAGCCACCAGACTTCACTGTTGCTTTGTGTCTGAGACACACATGCGACTTCCCAGAATTAAACAGGGATTTTGGCTAAGTGCAAAACTCAAGAGATCTGTTCTGGAGCTGCTGGCAGACCGTGTTCTGAGGGATGAGGACTGTTTGCTACAGCTTGGCAGGCTGAGGATGTTCAGCAAAAAGAATTTCTGTGCAGCCCAGGGCAGTGATCTCCAAGCCTGGGGATTTGAAAGACAAAGCCATAGCAAATATGATGTTGTGCTGGTTACAGCCTGCTCTGAGCAGGAGGTCAGGCTGGGGATGTACCTGCTTGTCCCTGCCACCCTATATCCAGGACTGGAACAACACCTAGGGACTGCATGTGCCTGTTCAGCACCAGGGAAATAATCCCTGCTCTTTTCACTGTTGGAAATGTAGAGCTCCAACTGCTGCCACTTCACTCCTCGGGGTCACCCATTGTCCTGGACAGTTCGACTTCACTTAATGGCCCTCTGCCTTGGCCTGCAGCTGGCGAGCTGGGGACAGGCTGTGGATTAAAGGTGGCATCACGGACGTGCTCCGAAGAGGATGCCGGTGATCTGGGCGGGCCCTGGGAAGGGAAGTGCCTGGCCCCGCCACTGGATGTGTGAATGAGTCCCTCCCTCGCTCCCTTGTTCATACCTAAGCCTCTCCCCATACAGCCTCCCTGCAGAAATGTT